GAAACGGTAGGTTTGTCTACATCTTCTTCTCCGTTTTTTTTCTTCTATGACCTGATCCTGAAGTAAAATCATTAAACTTGTTATATGATTTGGGATTTCAAAATAGGAATTTAGGGTTTAGGGATTTCGAAATTGAAAATTAAAGTTTTGGGATTTCTGAATATAAAGTTAGGGTTTTGTGTTTTGAAATATATAATTTGGGTTTTAGGAATTCGAAATTGAAAGTTAGAGTGTGGGTGTGGGATTTCGGAATACCTCAGCAAGTTTAATGATTTCCTTAGTCGCAAGGTCATGTGGGTCACAGGTCACATGAGTGACAGAGATTTATATGGTAATAGTATAATAGAACTCACAATACCGCACACGAGTCACACGGGTCACGGGTCACGGGTCACATAGGTCACAGGTCACATGAACCACGGGTCCCAGGTCACAGGTCACAAAGATCACAATGATGAACAATTATTTTATTTTGCAGCTTCCATTTGTTTACAAATTCGAAGACATTCAGTTTTCTTCGAAGATCAATACGAAGTGTTATCCGTATGAGACACTGAAGACGCTTAAAGAAATACTGACACATGATTAATGGACATACTTCGAGAAAGAATCACAGTTCCAACATCTATTTCATGCGCAATGGGATCCCCAACTAAAGATGGCGCCTGCGGGAGTTCTCATTAACCGCTCTGTTAAAGCGGAAGACGAGAAGAAATTGTGGTTCGTGCTCAATGGTGTACCCGTGAGGTACTCAATCATTGAGCATGCACTTATATGTGGTTTGAAGTGTGGAAAATATCCAGAAGGATGAGAGAGCTTGAAAAAGAGTGAGTTCAGGAAAAAGACTTTCGGACGTAAGAAGGTTTGTTTGAATGATGTGGTGGAGAAATTGAGATATATGCCAACCCATAGAGCATCAGATCGTAAGAGATTGGCTATTGTATGCTTGATGGCCGGAATCTTGGATCATGCCCTGTCATCCGAACAAATCAGCCATGATTTGTTCGACATGGTTGATGATTTACGTTTCTGTGAACGATTTCCGTGGGGTCGATACACTTTTGATCGAATAGTTGATCAAGTGCGAAAGAGTCTCGGTGCGAAACCAAAGACAAAATGGCATTGCCCGGGGTTTATAATCCCTCTGATGATAAGTTATTTATTAAATTACGAGTAAATTATTTGAAAGTTGGATTGATTTGATTAGCTTTTTTATGTTGCAGTTGCTGCCTTTTGAGTGCATTGAAAGCTTGGGTGCCAACGGGTGGTATACAGATGTTTCAGGTGCAGACCCAAGCTGTCCTAGAATGTGCAAGACGGTAATCAAACCCGGGCTTAGATGGACCTTCCCTACTGTAATGGAAAAGATTGGAATTGAATCACAGGTACGGGTCACGGGTCACGGGTCACGGGTCACATGAGTCACATGGGTCACACAAGTCAAAAGTAACATTTTTTTATTTATTTCAGGGTATTAAAAGTATTCTACAAGTGGGAAAGGATGAACAAACACTTCTGTATGATCTGGAGGATTACAAGGGAAGTAGTGATCCAAAGATCAGTATATGGATGCAACATTTGCAGTTGAATCCGCAAAGTATCTGTTGGGATAGCATCCGTGAGCTTGATGCCAGATGCAGAGGTTCTTTGAAAAAGGGAAAAACTAAGATAGTTGAAGAAGATGATGATGAAGTAGAAGAAGAACAAGAAGAGAATCAAGAAGAAGAGACTCGGGTTGAGGGTGAACCTCCAAGAATGCGAGGATCGACAGTTTCAAAAGCGGATGCATTAGAGAAGTTCATTAAGCAGGAGATCAATGCATCCGAGGCCAGGATCATTGATCACATGGGTCAAGCGATCCAAGCATCTGAGACGAGGTTAATTTCTGAAAGATATTCTGAAACAGTCTGGTCATTTCTCTGCGAACTATTCGTATAGAGTGCAACCTAGGAATGATGAAGTGTGGGGGACACTGCAACTTCTAAAGACCATGCTGGAGAAGCGGATGTTTTTATGGATGTCCCTCAAACTGGGAATGTTAATGTGGATCTCCGTGAAACTGTTGAGAAAGGTGACAAGGCTGTGGATGATGATGTGGATCTCCCTCAAGCTTCTAAGCAGGGTTCTAAGGCTGACAATGCTGATGTGGATATCCCTCAAGCTTGTGACGAGGGTTCTAAGAGGGAGAGGAATGATGATGTGGATCTGCGTCAAGCTTGTGACGAGGGTTCTAAGGGTGGGAATGATGATGTGGATATGCCTCAAGTTTGTGACGAGGGTTCTAAGGGTGGGAATGATGATGTGGATATGCCTCAAGCTTGTGACGAGGGTCCTAAGGGTGGGAATGATGATGTGGATCTCCCTCAAGCTTGTGAGGAGGGTTTAGTGGTTGGGATTGTTGATTTGAATCTGCCTCAACCTTCTGAAACCCCAAAGGAAGTTCCTCAGGCAGTCCAATCTGAAACCCCAAAGGAAGTCCCTCAAGCAGAAGGTAACTCTAGCTCTGAAACTTCACCACTCAGATTTCGTTTGAAAAGAAAACAAAGACAAGGGCCGGCAAAAAGAAGTCCATACGTTGAACCAGAATCGAGTGAACCCCCTGCAAAGAATAAACGTTACAAGACACTTGTCAGAGGTAGAGGAAGAACGGGAAGGGGAAGAGGAAGTAGTAGGGGTACACAACAGCTGGAAGAACCAAAGAAACCGGAATCAGAAGGCGAAGAAGCTGAGGTTGCATACTTTGTCTGGCAACCTGAAGGAGTTAATGGTGACAACCTCGAAAGGACGACATCCTTTCTTTCATCGTCCACTCTAAAAGCGAGCATTCTTTGGAAATTTATGAATATGCCCCGAGAGAAAAGGATATGGAAGTCTAAGTTGAATGCAACTAGAGATTCAAAGTTTTTTGAAACTATTTTGGAGAGCGGGAAATGGCTCACAAATGAGGTAAGGCTCCATTAAATAGGTCACGGGTCATACGGGTCATCTCTAACATGTTTTTGTTTTTCTTTGACAGCATATAGAAGAGGCATTGTGTGCATTTCAGTGCAACTATTCGAAGTACTCCAGTAGAACCGTGATCTCTAACTGTTGCATATGTGATCTATACTTCTCGGAGACCATCATGCGGTGGGAAGAGAGTGGGGACTTGTCCAAGCTGGGTTGTCTTGAGAAATACTTCTCCGGTAAACGCCCAATTGGAGGAGGTGTACGTAAGCCGTTGCAGAAGTATGATGTTCTTCTAACTGTTGTGAACATCCCTTCACCCGCAGACCCCAAGATTCCCTATCATAGGGTTGCCATTAAAGTGGATTTTAGGGACAAAGTACTTAAGGTATACAACTGTCAACCGAGACTACTGGAGAACGTGGATAAGGTTTCTCATAAGTTAGTTATTCTCATACCGCATGCATACGTCCTTGCTAAGACGAAATTGTTTCGTAAAGGGGATTTGCTTGAGGTTCAGTACAAGATTGGACTTCATGAAAATGCAACAGGTTCTGATTCTGGTGTCTATGCTGCAAAATACGTGGAAGGAATAATGTTGAACAAGGCAGCAGAATTCATGTCGATATGCGATGGGACCATACCAATGATCCGTGAAAAATTGGCTATCGATATATTTTGTAATGGTAAATTTGTATGAACTGACCCGTTATTTATTGTGAACCCTTTCGTAGTTTGTAAACTCAGTTTTTGTAAACTCTTTCGTATTTTGGATTATACTTTGACTTGAAAATATTTCAAGAAAAAAAAAACATAAGTCCAATGGATCACGCGGGTCACATAGGTCAACGATCACATATTTTAACACTTTAAAATCGAGATTTGACCGTGTTTTATAAGTGCCACTGAGTCACGGGTCACATGGGTCACATGGATCACGGGTCACAGATGAGTCACATGGGTCACATAGATCACATGGGTCGAATTGATCGAATTAATGATTTGGCATGGTTATGCAGTGATTAATCATGGATTTTAATATTAATAACAACTTTAAAATCATGTTCATTTCAATTTTCATATTTAAATCGCTCATGCAAATGTAATCCATTAGTGATACTAGTGTTTCATGACAACTTATGAACAAATTGTACTAATGTTCATATAACTCTTACTTTTGTTAACGAATTTAACTTGCAGATACCATATTATCATTGTAAAACATCATATAACCCATTTTAACACTTTAAACTCGAGTTTTGACCGTGTTTTATAAGTGCCACTGAGTCACGGGTCACATGGGTCACAT